CCTCACGTGGCTGAAAGGACACCACGACCACGTTTTCTGGGGTGCGAATGAGCTCCGATACGCTATTGAAGGGAATCATGTCGAGGTGGCAAGATGGCTACAAGAGAAGACGCGACCACCTACGAAGCTTAGAGCGATGAACTTGGCTGCAGCTAATGGGAACCTCGAGCTGGTACAATGGCTACATGAGGTAAGACACGAAGCTTCGTCTTCTGCTGCTGTGAAAGCAGCGAAAGGAGGATATCTGGAAATGCTCAAGTGGATGGACAAACATTCACTGTGTAAACACCAGGGAGTTCCGGTGGAAGACGCAGCGGCAGGAGGCCACTTGAAGGTTGTGAAATGGCTACATAAATCCGGGGTCGGTATTGCCACTCCGCGAGCAATGAACGCAGCTGCAGCGAATGGTCATCTCGAAGTGATCAAATGGCTTCATCGCAAAGGAAAAGATTATTCATGTACCCATGTTGCAATGGACAATGCAGCCATGAACGGACATTTAGAAATTGTCAAATGGCTACATACTCATCGATCAGAAGGTAGCACAACAGATGCAATCGATGGCGCGGCCAGAAATGGATACCGTGGAGTCGTACAATGGCTACATTCGAATAGAAACGAAGGATGCACGACTCGAGCCATGGACGAGGCTGCTGCTAATGGCCATCTACATACTGTGATGTGGTTAAGCAAATATAGACCAACGAGTGATCGCATCAGTAGCTCTGCCAGCAGCAGCGGCTCACGATCAAGCTCTAGAGGAAGAGGCGGGGGCTGTACCACGAATGCCATGGACAGCGCTGCTCGTGGCAATCATTTGGATGTGGTGAAGTTCCTGCATAGACATCGAGAGGAAGGATGCACAGAACGAGCCATGGATGGCGCTGCTGGCGCTGGCCACGTAACGATGCTCAAATGGCTACATGAACATCGTAGCGAAGGCTGCACAGCTGCAGCGATGGATGAAGCAGCAGCAAATGGGTACATTGAAGTGGTGAAATGGCTACATGACAATCGTGTCGAGGGATGTACAGCACGCGCTATGGATGGAGCTGCAGCAGGCGGACACCTTCGAATTGTCAAATGGCTACATATCAACCGCTCCGAAGGCTGTACAGAGGCTGCGATGGATGGAGCTGCAGCGCACGGTAAGCTCGATACACTGAAATGGCTACATAAAAACCGATCCGAGGGCTGCACCACTGCAGCTATGGACAAAGCTGCAGCTGGTGGACACTTTGAAGTGCTCTTGTTCTTACACACTAAACGTTCAGAGGGCTGCACAATGGACGCAGCAGTCAGTTGGCCCACCGTGTGACGGAGAGCCTGACGCTCATTCAACGCCTCACTCAGCGAGCTCTGCATAAGCGTGATCTTCTCCATCACTCCAGCATGTTGCGCCTTCAAGTTGCGGTGTCCAGTCTTGTAACGAGCCAGCTCACTCTTCAGCGCTTCGTTCTCATCCTGCAGCTTCATGGCACGCTGGTTGGCAGGA